CCCCCAATTCCCAGTAAACAGGCCAGACCACATAACAGTAATCTCTTGATGTGGGTTCTTTAACGTCTCCTGCCTAACCAAATTAACTGATTAATAGACGCAGGAGACGGGACGTACGGTTTATTCGTCCTTATCCGAGAAGAAGAATAATATGAACATACATGTATAATGGGAACTTGAATGACACAGGAAAAGATATCATTTTCATTACTTCTATGAGGAAGTATGGAACACCAATACCAGTTTCCTTCCCTTAGAGTAAGTGTTTTTCGTCTGTTTTTTTCGTTCGTTTGTTTGATTGTCTTTTTGTTTACTTTTAGCCCCTTTAATTGAATTCCTCAAGCTATTTACATTTTTAAATGCAACTTGTTCTTTTTTTTTTTTCATGAATTTCAATTCTTCTGTAGATCTCAAATCAAATCATCCTTCTTAATGACCTCACTTTCGTGTATCGGCCATCCATTAGACTTTGGTGTTCAATCGGTCAAACATCTTCTGGATGAAAATTTGTACAAAATTCTCACTGGCAGAGGGCTTTTAAAATGTCTTAAAAAGTTAAAAAGAGAATTTGTCAAATGATCAAACTTTAGAACGGTAGGATTAATACCCTTAAATTGCTGGGCCCACAAGTTCAAAGGGCTAACGTTCCTTGCCTACGGATAAATTGCTATCCAGCGGATAAGTTTAAACAAAACATACTGCGCTATCCACCGGATCGAGATTTTCCAGTGGATAGCGTTACGAATGGAGTTAGGAGGGTACAAAGAGCAATAATTTTCTTACCTCTCCACTGGCCTTTCCTGTTGGCTCGTGAACTTCTACCTAAACCGCAGAAGGAGAGAAGGAACATAACTCAACAGTACTCTTCCATTGTTTTACTTTGTGCCAGCTATCTTAAATTCTAAGTTTTTTTTCCTTTTTATTTTTATGACACTACGACACTTACACGAACTACGACACTTGCAAACCAAAACTTTGTATATTAAATTTTTTTAAAAAGTATTACAAGCCGTGCGTTGCGGAAAATTATATGGTTTTTCCCTGTACAATTAGCCAGATAAATTTGAAAACGTAATAATTAATGGCGACAAAAACGTTTCGATACATCACAAAATTGCCACGTCCCCCTCACCCTCCCCTCCCCTCCCAAAAAAAGAGAGAAAAGACGCCAAATTTGTTTTCATACCATACTAGGACACCCAAGGCGACGATTTCAAGTTAAACATTTCGATGAGCGGTTTAAAAAGAAATGTTTTCGAATATCTCTGACAGGAGTAGCGTGGACAAAGCGTTCGGATTTTAGCGAAAAATTACATATCGAGTACCTCTCCCGTGAAGCAGTGTATAATCTATGTCACTTCCTATCACATGGGCACCAAAATGGGCGCAGGCCACAAGAACACTACCTGGAAGAGACAAAGCTTTCGTAGAATTACAACTTCTGTACAAGGAGTTGTTATTTTCCGTGAACATCATTACATAACTGTTTTCATACAAGTATAAGGTATTCCTGGTGGTTAATCATTTTGAAACCCAAGACAATATTTACATGCTTAAGTAAAAAAAATCAAACAACACAAAATACAACAACACAAGAAAAACCAATGCGGTTGCTCACCTGTTCCAACGAAGGGATCAAAGACGAGGCTGCCTGAACGGACCTTAAAACATCACAAACAATAGCCCATTTCCGAATTACCCTTGGCCTCATTTTCAAAACGAGGCCTGGTGCTCAACCATTCTTGTGAAAATGAGTTTAATTTGCATGTGAATGAAAACTTATTATCATATGAAAGGATGAGCACCAGGACTCGTTTTGAAAATGAGGCCAAGGGTAATTCGGAAATGGGCTATTAAATAAATAAAAAAACTTCAAAACATGTTTCTCTACACGTCAAAAAAGGTAAAGTTAGTAAATTCACGAACCAGAAGGTTCCTTCTCGTGAGGCTTATCCCAGTTTCATTACCATGAAGCAACTTGCAGTGTTGCTACTCGCTTGCTCGCAGAGAAACTTTCATCCACCTATAATTTATAATACGTGAAATACAGCATTGTGCAAAAGTAACAGAAGCGAAATGGAAAGATTTCATTCTTTGCTGTCGCGAGTTTTCAGAGAAATTTGCCCTAAAAATTTGAGCAACTGTCCGCGGTTTAGTTCGCGTACTTTTGCTAAAAGAGAGCGCGAAAATGTTCGATTTTACAAAGAAAATTTGTTTACAGTAGCGCAATTTTTCTGGTGGTGCGCAAATTTACCATAACTAAACCCATTCGCGTAATCACAGCGACCAGATTCTGTTGAGGACAATTCAAGCCATTGAAAAATGTTGATGTTGATATACCTGTCCCTGATTGGCCATCAGGAATGACAGCTGTGGATCCATGGAAGTGTTACCAATAAAACGCCTCGTCTTGAGTGAATACTGTTTGAAAAGGTGACGCTGACCATGCCCAACCTACAGACAATAAAAACATCTTTCATTGAATCTCGTTTCCACACACACACAAAAAAAAAATATATATATATATATATATAACTAACTGCTGACAGTACTGTTTCGGCCTTCTTGGCCTCATCAGTGCAGTGCTCATGCTAGAATGGGGGAGAACCGAAACAGTCACCCCAAACGACCCAACCTTTGTGGTATCGTCTAAGCCATGCCAGAGTGCTCAAACCAGTTTAAAGTAGCGAGCATGCGCAATTATATATATATATATGAATTTAAAGTCATTATTCCCCTCACAAGAAACCACATAGTGTGCCACTATAAAATTGGATTATTATGAAGTTTTTGTATCCTTACCAAGCGACCAAAGAACAACCTCTGAGGAATTGGAGGGGCTTCATTGGGGTCATCTCCATAGTCCAACAGCAGTGCAAACAGATTATCAGGTGCTGTCAGATTGACACAGCCTTGAAAAGGAAGGAATTGGAATTGCTGTGGATAACAAGGTGTGCTTTTGCTCAATTGGCTTAAATACTAAATAATGTGATTAGATAAAAAAACAAAACAAACAAACAACCACAAACAGTAACAACAGCATAGACCATATGCACTATGGCACATAATTTACGAACATTTGACCACAAAAAATTATCAAACTGAATTTAAATCCAATCAACAAATTAGACAAACCATTTTGACATCATAACAATACCTACAACAAAAATGCTCTAGTGGGTCAAATACTGATAACAACAGTACCCTGGTCAAGATGCGAGCAAAATTATTTTTTCCATGGAAGGGGGGGGGAGGTGGATAAGCGAATAGGGAGGGACTTACACAAACAACTGGTTCACCAATTACTGTGTTACCCTTACAATCAACTTCAGAAAAATCTCGGAGCAGTACACGTACATGAGTATATAAATAAAGAGAACCACAATCTATATGAGGCAAAGAACAACTGTAATAAGTTATTTTTCAGGTTTATGATCAAGTTAAAAATTGTCTAAATTTCCTGAGTTTAAGACATAAGTTTTAGTATATAGAGAAAACCATACACCATACAAGGTAAACATCTGTTAAAATAAGTCCTTTTTCAGGCTTATAATCAGGTTGAAGTTGTTCTGGATTTGAAACATAAATTTGAAAATGATAGACATTTACTCACATCAATAAACTCCCTCTGTTGACTTATAGACAACTTTTTATTAAAGGACTCAATGCTAATTTTAAAGGATTTGTCACTGGATGTGAAAGTGTTCTGGAAGACAAAAATGAAAGAAATCATTTAGTAGATCAGCTTCTGATACAGATTACATGAGATTTTTGCAACACATTAATTCCAAAAAAATTGCAAAACTAAAGTGACATTAACAAAAAGTGTCCCAAACAAGACATGACGTAAAATAGCAACCATGAACTGCTTGCGGATATTGTGAGAACTGTTCTACTGTTACTGTTGACAGTTAATACTGCTCTTGCGATTTTTATAATTTTGACGTTATTGTTCATTTGGATAAGGTTGTTTTATTAAATTAAAGGACATTTTAAAAGTTAGCTGTGTCTTAATCAAAAACACAAAATTAAGGTGACTCAAAATACAAACTTTTCACAAAATGGTGGAATTTAAGTGTCGCAAAATCTATCCACCTAAAAATTGCAAAATTAACCCGTCTGGAACATTTCATGTACATGTAATAAGGTACCCAGAAATTTATTTCTTGCTATCAGAAACTGATATCTGTAGAGTGATTAACTTAACAACAACAACAACAAAAATAGCAGCAAAAGCATTTACCATTTTATCAGGTGGATATTGGAGAATGTTATCTTTTAATGCTGTTAAATTTTCTCCTTGTCCCCACAATTCATAAACAGACCTAAATATAGATTAAGCACAGTTATAGAGAATGCTAACAGGTCTGGAACAAGTATTGGATGGAATGACAAACACCAAGAGATTAACCTCCTAATTGGTTATTGTCCAAACTGTACAATATATATACCTGACAAATGTGTACAGCTCAGTAAACATGAAGATGCAAAGCATAACTGAAGTCTGCATTTAAAGCATATTTAATCTTAAAGCTTATAAATTCCCCAAGGTTTCTAAACCAACCAGCAGGGTTGCATTTTTTTCCAAATGCATAAATATGGGGATTTCATTAGACACCAGCAACAGGCAAATTCCTGCAGCTACTCTCTACAACTAAGCTGGCTACCATGGCCATTTCATCTCCCGATTTTAACATGTTTTTTGGAAAATATTCAATATATTGTAAAGGCAGTCATCAATAAAAGTGTTTTTTGTTGATATTTTGTCTCCTTTTTGGTTATTGGATGATTTTTGTGACAAGTTCTAACAATTCAATCAACAACACGATCGGTTCACTGTGCGCCATGTTGAACAGACAGAAGAGAAAGACTGGTGACAAAATCTGCCTTGATTGCCACTGAACTACTTACTTCCTAATGTACACCTACTTGCAAAACTAATGAAATCCCTGTAAACAGTATGGGATTGAAAGATTATAGGCATATTTAGAGTAAAGGCTGATGGTCTCTAAAGAAACTGTTTGGGGCTGCGTCAGTGGGGGTAACGAAATAATTTGGATATATCAACAAAGTTGAAATGGTAAATTGGCCACTGTAACGATTACAAAAGCTGACGTTTGGAGCGTTAGCCCTTCGTCGGAGCAAAGGGCTAACGCTTGAAGGGCTAGCACTCGAAGGGCTAACGACGAAGGGCTAATGCTCGAAACGTCAGCTTTTGTAATCGTTACGTTGGCCAATTTACCATTTCAACTTTGTTGATATATCCAAATTATTTCGTTACCCCCAC